CCGTTGTTTTCTACTACCTGTGCCCAACGCTCAGGAAGCATTTTAATCCCTCTGTTGTAAAATTCTTGTGATTTTGATGCAAAAAATTTGGTCAATGCATTTTTGAGGCATTCTTCATTATTAAATTTTTTTCCAAGAAGAAAGTTTTGCAAAGAACGAAACAAATGGTAATCAGAAGGGGCAATATCAGGAGAATATGCAGGTTGAGGGAGAACTTCCCATTCCAACTGGCGCAGTTTTTCAACAGTGATTCTTGCAGTATGCGGTCATGCGTTATCGTGGTGAAGAATTACGCCCTTCCGATTAATCAGCGCGGGTTCTTTTTCTCTTAAAGCTTGGGCTAACCTTTCCAATTGGGCACTATACACTGCACTTGTAATGGTTTGGTTAGATGGTAAAAGTTCATAATGAAGAATTCCTTTAAAATTCCACCAAACACACAACATCACTTTTTTCGCCTGCAAGTCAGGTTTTGGCGTGGGCTGCGGAGCCTCATTTTTGTCCAACCATTGAGGCCGCCTTTTCGAATTAACATACAGCACCCATTCTTCATCTCCGGTAACAATTTGCTTTAAAAACAGCAAACGGTTTTGACGAGAGAGGAGCGAACTGCAAATTGTGACTCTTTGATTACGGTTGTTGTCGGTCAACTCATGAGGAACCCATTTTCCAAACTTTTGGACTTTGCCAAGTGCACGCAATTGATTGGAAATTGTTTTTTGTGAACAATTTAAAGTTGTCGCAAGCTCTTGTTGGGTAATTTGAGGATTTTGCACCAAAAGAGCTTGAAGAGCTTCTTGATCAAAATTGGACACACGGCCTCGACCACTCTTGTCATCTAACGAAAAATTTCCCTCGCGAAATTTCTCAAACCAACGCTGGCATTTTCTGGCGCTAACTGCATCTTGACCAAGAGCACTACAGATGTTTTTTGCAGCCTCACTTGCTTTTCTTCCTAATTGGAACTCGTAAAGCATGCAGTGCCAAATATGCTCTTCATCCGCCATCTTCTTAGCCCTAGTTTTGCAACAAAAACCAAACCAAACACAAACTTTTTCAAGCAAAACTTGTTAATTGCACTTCACACGTTCTGTAGATACCACATGTTTGAAGGTTATGGCAATACAAGTCAACGCCAAGCAAGATTTTAAACGAATGTTTAAAACGACATTAATTATTTAAAACGACATTAATTATTACTAGACCCGATTAAAGAGAATCTCTACGGTCCCTTCTTGTGATTTTTTTATGATTGAGATATTGTGCATTCATTAATTATTTATACAACTGAAACATATCGCTTAGGTGGCAAACTTTCAGCAATTTCAGGTGGGAATATTTCTCTTATTTGTGTGTGCCTCAATATTTTTACTTTTATAGCCTCTGATAAGGAAGGTTATTTACATACCTTCTTCAACCAAGGCATAATAAACATAATTTAACCTTTTCTTGAGAAATTCAGATCATTACCATGAGAAGCATTCCTTGTATTGTACTTTAATATAATAATATAAAGTAATATTACATTATTAGCAGAAGAACATAGCACTGATTCAGTCATTTTTGGGTTTCCTTTTTTTAAGCTAGTGGGGATCATTGATCTAATCTACGGTAATCCTATTTAACCCTCAGAAGATAATTCTATTTGAGTTCTGTACCTGCTATTTTATAATATTTCTTAATTTACTTATTGTCAAGTTGTTATTGTGTTTCTTTTTGTTTTTATGTCTAACATAAGGCTCTAAATCCATGTTTTTAGAACTATTTTTTTTTTTTTTTGGAATTTTGTGAAACAAGAATCTCTTAGGGGTAAATTTTGGTAAATGAATTTTAGCTTAAAGTATGAACTTTGTAATTACTGTTTTTCACTACTCAAAACCCAAACTTCAGACATTAATATTTTCAAAATCTGGTGATTTGAACAAAGTAAAGATTATTTTCACTTTGAATTGTGCTGTTTTGCTTTAAGAGTCCTAACAGAGTAATTTGTATAGTAGCAGTTAAATTTTTCATTTTATCTTTCCATAGTTTTAAGGACAATGTGCTATTAGTATGTTTAGTCTATATAAATATATATATATATATATAAATGGCTAATATGCTATGTGTCTCTCCGCCCGTCCAACTGGTCACTGACACGCACTGACCACCAGGGGGGCAGACACTCAACCCAGGAGCTGCTGTGGCACACGCTGGCCATTTACAGAGAAACAACACAGTCCTGAGCAACACTTGGCTTCCCCAAGTGGGACACAGGTCCCACCACCACCTCAGAGCAACAGCCCACCAAATTGCAACCAACTCTGCCATGACCCCAGGCGCAAAATGTGGCCCACAGCCCAGCCCAACCCAGAAACTGTCACTGGGGGTGCCGGGTAATGACATCATGTAGCAACACCTGGCTAGTCTCCCTACCGACTAGCCTCCTTGGAGTTTCTTCAGTCCAGGAATATGACTTGCTTTATAGCCAGGTGCAAGTATTTTACACTTTAACCAAATGTCTGTAAAGAGTTTTTCCGTGCCTCCTCTCATTTGATCCTCACGAGTCCTGAAGTAAGTAGATAGGAGACTTGGTAGAATCCTATTTCCTTTTCATTAGCTGGAAAACAGAGATTTAGAAAGTTTAGAAACTTGACCCGACTGAAAAAAAGTAAGTAATGGTGGACCTTGAAAATCATTTCAGGCTTTCTCACTGCGCAAAATATAGTCCAACACTGTTGCAGTTAAATATTTTACCCTTTGATCTCCCTGCATGATCTACAATAACAATCTACTTCGTGTTGATATTTACTGCTGTGTTGCTGACAATTACCTGAAAGAGAAGTTGGTGTGCTTCACTGGGATGGAAAATGTTTAGCTATGTCAGAAAGCAGTTCTAATTAAGCAAGTTTATTCTATATCTATAAAAGGCTAAGTTGACTTTCACATGTGTGATACATCTAAAGCTCTCACTGGCGTCAGTCACACGCACATGTTTTGATATGTCATTGTCCATCGTGAATTTGGTTGACATTTGTATTATAGAGAAAGGGTGAGTAGCAGTATTAAAATATTCTAATTAATTTCCTTTCAATGTGCATGAATCCATGCACTAGGTGGCTTCATTTTATGTGGCTAAAATCAAGATGTCACCAGGGCTAGTTACTTCTGGAGGCTCCAGGGAAGAACCTGTTCTTACATCTCCCAGCTTCTGGTAGTGCTATTATAATACCCAAAGTCATTGCCAGATTTTTATGAAAGAAAAATTGAAAGTAGTGGGTTATTGAAGAGGAAATAAGATTGAGAGTTGCTTCCTAGAAATTATTCTAAAAGATTATGATGATTTTCACTTTTCTGTTTTAATTCACTTAGGACTAACATAGATCACCCAGCTAATTGGGGAAAATTCTAAAGATTAAATACTTTTTACTTACAGTAATCCATTTGATGCGATAGATGCCTTAAGTTTTCTACAGGGAATGCTCACTTTCCCAGAGAACACATCCAAGATTTATAACACCAAAAGGGAAATTACAGGATGAGGAATATTAGGAACTATTATCTATTTAAATAGCTGAAATAAAAATTACTAACTGAAGTTGTAATAAATTGGAAATACAAGGATTTTTAAATTGTTTGGAGTTGATAAATAGTGCCCATGGAAAGTATTGTTTCTTCATGAAATAATACTGATTTTTCATTTTCTTTTTTCTTTTTCTTTTTAAATATATTTTATTGATTTTTTACAGAGAGGAAGGGAGAGATATAGAGAGCTAGAAATGTCGATGAGAGAGAAACATCGACCAGCTGCCTCCTGCACATCCCCTACTGGGGATGTGCCCATAGCCCAGGTACATGCCCTTGACCGGAATCGAACCTGGGACCTTTCAGTTTGCAGACCAACGCTCTACCACTGAGCCAAACCGGTTTTGGCTGATTTTTCATTTTCTGAAAAATCTTTATGAGCATACTTGTTTCCTATTGCAGCTGTAACATTTTACTGCAAACTTAGGGGGGATGGGAGACAACAAAAATGTATTCTCTTACAGTTCTGGAAGCCAGAAGTCTGAACTTCATTTTATGTGGCTAAAATCAAGATGTCACCAGGGCTAGTTACTTCTGGAGGCTCCAGGGAAGAACCTGTTCTTACATCTCCCAGCTTCTGGTGGCTGCCAACATTCCTTGATTTATTGCTACATCTCTCCAGGCTCTGCTTCCACAGTCACATTGCCTCCTCTTTCTGGAGTTTAATCTCCCTCTGCTCTTGAATGGGTATATTTAGAGCCCAACTAGAAGACCCAGAATAGTCTCCCCATATCAAAATCCTGAACTTAATCACATTTGCAAAGTCCTTTTTGCCATATAAAGTAACATGCACACGTTGCAGGGATTAGGACCTGGATATCATTGAGGGGCACTATTCAGTCTACTGTAGTGAGTATGGATACTCATTGTGATCTACTTCCAGCTACAGCTTTCTTCTCCCCTGCCCATACACACACTCCCTTGCTCAAACTTTCTTCCTTAAATTTCTTTAGCCGACTAGGTATTACATCTGCATACCAGCTTCTAGCTTGTTTATATTATATCTTAAAATTAGATGTAGCTTGAGGCAGATAAAACCTCAATTCATAAGTAATACACTGTCTTTAAGGGAATTAAAATAAGACTCAACTGGTAGAATCCTAGATAGGGAATAGTAGTCTGTCCTATATTTTAGTTTCAGCTCTGCCATTAACCATGTAACTTTGAACAGGTTTTTTAGTCTCCCTAAGACTTACTTGTTTTCATAAGTAAAATATTTCTTACAGCTTTAAATTATTTTAAATTTTATTTCATCAAATAATATTGAAGGCTTCAGTGTTTAATGGCTATTTAAAATTATAATTGTCTTGAATTTTAATGACTTTTATTTCACTATTTTCTAGAATTATTTAACCACTTTTTCCTCCGGCCATTTTATATTATTTTCCTAGGCATCTGTTTTGAAGTATAAAGAACTATGTGGTTTTGATTAACAGGAGGCTCAACTTTTTGTGGCATTGCATCACTGTGTCTCATGGGTAAACTAGAAGAAGTTTTTTCAGAAAAAGAATTGAACAGGATAAAGAGATGGTGTATAATGAGGCAACAAAATGGTTATCATGGAAGACCGAATAAGCCTGTAGACACCTGTTATTCTTTTTGGGTGGGAGCAACTCTAAAGGTAAGAGAAACAGTAAAAATGAGAAACCTATACTCTCTGTTAATATTAGCTGTGTTTAGAGGGTTTGGTCTTTGTGCTATTCATTAAATATTGTTAGGTTTAGGCTACTGAGTGTTTTCTGTTTCTCTGGCAAAGCCGGTGTCTATATTTCTTTTTTATAGAATTCAGTTATCTGTTGTACTACTTGAAAATTTCCATTTTTACAAAATTCAAGTGGCCCAGGTAAAAAAGTAAGTATAAAAAAACTTATTACTGGAACTGATCGGTAGTCCATCTAAGGCATGGATCTGTCTAAACACACCAGTAAAGAATTTATAGGAAGATATTAATCCTAAAAGATAAACCAGGGTCATTTCTTTAAAAATTATTTAAGGTTTTCTATTTTTGTTTATTTATGTAAACCATCTGCAGTGTATTGATTGGTATGTTTCCCCCCATCTGTACAACATTTTGATACACCTAATTCCATAAGGTAATTAGCTACTACCTATAGGTTTTCTCTTTTTTAAATTCACCTAGTTATGATATTCTAGAATCTAACAAAAGTCTATATTCATCTTCTACATAGTTTCCTAATTTTTTTCTCTTAGACAAAAATGTATACATATGGTTGAAGTATAATAAATTCAAAAAACAGAATGATTTAAAATGAAGGCAAGAGCCCCCTACCTCTCTCCTGTACCATTTTTAATTTTTTTTTTAATTATAGAAAATTTCAACATATTCAAAAGTAGAGGGAATAATTTGACAGAAATGTTTCCAGCATCAGGATCCTAAACAGTTTTTCCTTATATTCTACTAGAGGCCCGGTTCATGAAATTCATGTGTGTGGTGTGGGGGAGTCCCTCAGCCCAGCCTGCACCCTCTCCATTCTGGGACCCCTCAGGGGATGTACCTCTCACAATCCAGGACTGTTGGCTCCCAACCATTCGCCTGCCTAATTGCCCCTAACTGCTTCTGCCTGCCAGCCTAATCACCCCTTAACCACTCCCCTGCCAGCCTGATTGATGCCTAACTGCTCCCCTGCCGACAGATTACTCCCAACTGCTCTCCCCTGCTGGCCTGGTCCCCCCAACTGCCCTCTCCTGCTGGCCTGGTCACCCCTATCTGCCCTTCCCTGCAGGCTTGGTTGCCCCCAACTGCCCTTCCCCGCAGTCCTGGTCCCCCCCAACTGCCCTCCCTTCCCTACAGGCCTGGTCACCCCCAACTGCCCTTCCCTGAAGGCCTGATTGCCCCCACCTGCCCTCCCCTGCAGGTTTTGTCATCCACAACTGCTCTCCCCTGCTGGCCTGATCACACACAAGTGCCCTCCCCTGCAAACCATCCTGTGATAGCCATCTTGTGACCACATGGAGGTGGCCATCTTGTATGAGGGTGTATTGGTCAATTTGCATATTACCTCTATTATATAAAGATTAAATCAAAATGAATAAGTTTTTTATTTTTAAGAAATAATGTCTTTTTATTGATCACTTAGACCCCTCATGCCCCTCGTGAGTCATTAATATACTTTCAGTTGCTTTGTGTCTTTCAGAAATGTTTTAAACTCTCTTGCCTATTGCTTACCATTGCTTCTCATTGCACTTTGATTTATCCTTTTTTTAAAAAAATATATTTTATTGATTTTTTTACAGAGAGGAAGAGAAGGATAGAGAGTTAGAAACATTGATGAGAGAGAAACATCGATCAGCTGCCCCCCCGCACACCCCTCACCGGGGATGTGCTGCAACCAAGGCACATGCCCCTGACTGGAATTGAACCTGGGACCCGTCAGTCCACAGACCGATGCTCTGTTCACTGAGCCAAATCGGTTTCGGCTGATTTATCTTTTCTACTTAATGACAACTTAAGAGAGAGAATAAATAATACATGTTATAAATCTTTAAACTACATAATTTTTAGGCAAAAATTATATTTGTCTCAATTATATTTTATTTTTCCTAATTAAAGATCTATAATATTTTTACTATTCTCAAAACTGTCTCTAGCATTTGGTTAATAAAGTTTTGTTACTCTTTTATGAAATATTTTTAGTTCTAGTTACTACCATTTGTAACTTAATAGTAGCTTTAAAGCTTATCATAAGAGTTAAAATATGGCCGAAACCGGTTTGGCTCAGTGGATAGAGCATCGGCCTGCAGACTGAAGAGTCCCGGGTTCGATTCCGGTCAAGGGCATGTACATTGGTTGCGGGCACATCCCCGGTGGAGGGTGTGCAGGATGCAGCTGGTCGATGTTTCTCTCTCATCGACGTTTCTAGCTCTCTATCACTCTCCCTTCTTCTCTGTGGAAAATCAATAAAATATATTTTTTTTAAAAAGTTAAAATATGGTAGATAAAATTGTACTTTTTTAAATGACTAAAGAAGTTGAACAGAATTGTACTTTTTTAAATGACTAAAGAAGTTGAACCATGCCCACTTAACCAAGAGGTTAAGTGGGCATGGTTCAAAAGAAGGAAACATTGAATGGGTCAAGAAATCAGGAGAGTACATTTGGTACGATAATATAAAAGATAATGTGGTTGACTGCTTTTAAGTGCTCAAGCCCCACAGAGGTTTGCTCTGAGAGCCTTAGCTTGAGAAAAGCGTATTTAAATTATATAGATCTGAAAATGGTCAATATGAAAGTTTTAAATTTATATTTGTCTTGTCGTTGCAGCTTCTGAAAATTTTTCAATATACTAACTTTGAGAAAAATAGAAATTACATCTTATCAACTCAAGATCGCCTTGTAGGGGGATTTGCCAAGTGGCCAGATAGTCATCCAGGTAATTTATTTTTTTGTATGAATCCAGAACTTTCCTTTTGTTTATTTCTTAACTAAACCTTCAAGCATCTTCGTCAGAAAGGACATATAGGAAATTTAGCCTTAGTTGTAAACTTACATTAAATAATATGTTTTTTAAAAGGTAAGGAAATTGTTTTAAGTTTAGGGATGATTTAGGATCTTGGGGGTATAAAGGAAGGGTTTGATTATCAAGATATATTGGTATAGTTTACATTATTTTCTAAATATTTTACTTAGCAATGTTTTATTTCATTTGAGGCAGTAAGGCAGGTAGTCTAAATAAGCCCTGTCCAAATTACAGAATCATTTGTAATCTTTAGGTTATTAGCTATCAATTGAGCTACATAGAATAAATTATTCTTAATCTAAAAGGAGGAACCCATTCAAAAATTATTTAATCAGAAGTCTCAAATCCTGAATACAGGTTCCCTCACTGACCAGACTTTTCTTACCTGAATTTTGGCAGATTAAGTTTCTTCTTTAGATGAATACTTTGCTGTGTTAACTCTTACTATCTAAAACTCAGGTCCTACCCAGTTTGGCTCAGTGGATAGAGTGTCAGCCTGGGAACTGAAAGGTCCCAGGTTTGATTCCAGTCAAGGGCATGTACCTTGGTTGCAGGCACATCCCCAGTGGGAGGTGTGCAGGAGGCAGCTAATGGATATTTCTCTCTCATGGATGTTTCTAACTCTCTCTCTCTCTCCCTTCCTCACTATAAAAAAAAATCAATAAGATATATTTAAAACTAAGAAGCCAATAAATTCAGAGAGTATGATAATCTATGTGCTTTCCAAACTCAGGAATGTTATAGATGTGAAGAGTAAAAGATTCTTGAATTTTATAAGTACTTTTAAGTGGGTTTTTTCAAAATATTAAAAACTGTATTAATATTTCTTCAGAATATGTTGATATTTCCGATATTTTCCAAACCTTATTATACGCTGTGTACTCTTACTATGAAACTGCTTGCTCAGCCCTAACTGGTTTGGCTCAGTGGTTAGTGCGTCAGCCTTCAGACTAAAGGGTCTCAGTTTCAATTCTGGTCAAGGTCATGTACCAATGTACCAATTGGTTTTGGGTGCATCCCCTGTAGGGGGTGTGCAGGAGGCAGCTGCTCGGTGTTTCTTTCTCATTGATGTTTCTAACTCTCTATCCCTCTCCCTTCCTGTCTGTAAAAAATCAATAAAGCCTCTAGCCTTGTCCCCCTCATATTGACACCTTGTGTGTATGTACGTGTGTTTAAAGAAGAGGAGAGGGGGCCAAAGCTTTTTTCAGTCTCTCAAAAGGATCTCTGATGTAAAAAAAAAAAAAGTTGAAAACCTCTACTCTAAACTCTTCTATTAAATCTATTTTTAAAATTCAAAGACTTTCTTAGCACTCATTCAGTTCTTTGGCATGGCACACAGGCCCTCCTGGGATTTGGCTCCTCTTCCACCTCTAGCGTCATTCTTCAGGCTACTGCCTGCTCCCCCGCCCCCCTCCCCCCCACTTATGTTATTACCTCCAGCAAAATGAACCTATTCACAGCTTCAAAAAAAAAATCACTTTGAGAATTCGTTAAAAATAATTCAGAACACTGACATTTATAATAAGCAAGTTGAAAAATTATTAGCTATAAATATATGAAACTAGATTCAAGAAATGATTGTTTTGCAGCATTGTAATAGAATTATGGTTTTTATTGTTAGCCTAGAGCCTCTTCAGTTCATTTATTATTGCACTGCTATTGTCTAACATGTACTTGAATCAAAATATAAATGGGGGCTCATAAAATTATATTTTTGTACCTGAAATGAGCAGGAATATATCCTTGACATCCATACTTGTATTTTCATGCAAAATATTCTCCTTTAGAAAAAAATGTACAATGCTTTTAATTTCTAAAGCAAAATGACATTTTTAAAGTTTTGGTATTATAACACATAGCTATAGATATGTTAGAAAAGGGACTCAAGAAAACAATTATTTTGGTCTTGATGCCATTTTTTTCAGCTAGTGCATGGTACTATTTTAACAAAATGGAAATAGGGAAATGATAATCTCTTAGAAAGCATTTCTTGTATAAGCATACTTTGAATACATTTGAGTATTTATAATAGCTTTTTAAAGAGAAAATACTTGAAGCTTTTTTCTTGCAAGATCAATTTCTGCAACATTTGTGTGAATACTTCAATGTAATACCTTTTACGGATATGTGACATTATCTTCAGAGCCTGTACACTACAGAGCATAGAAAGTCTTCATATGATAAATTGGACTTATGTGGATAGACCTGAGACTTTTTCTAGAGCTTTTATAAAAATTATTTTAACAGGTCTTTAAAATTATCTTATTATTGGTTCTGATAAATCTAATAACCAATTTGACAAGGAGATTTTATGTACATTTATAGTGGAAACGAGAAAGTAATGTATTTATAATGTATTCTAAATGCTTGAATACTAAGATTTTTTTTTTACTATTTGAGGTTTGAAACAATTAACTGCTGGTTCACTGGATTTTACAAGAATACTTTTGAAGAAAAAAAAACGTGTTTGTACATTAACTGTGAAGTATAAGGCCCAATTTTAGGTTATTCTTTTTTTATTTTTTTTTAATATATTTTATTGATTTTGTACAGAGAAGAAGGGAGAGAGATAGAGAGCTAGAAACATCGATGAGAGAGAGTCATCGATCAGCTGCCTCTTGCACACCCCCTACTGGGGATGTGCCCGCAACCAAGGTACATGCCCTTGACCGGAATCGAACCCAGGTCCCCTCAGTCCCCAAGCCATCTCTCTATCCATTGAGCCAAACCGGTCTCGGCAAGGTTATTCTGGATGTATTTTATTTCTCTTTCTATTGCATTCTTTTCTGGGAAAATTTTCTATTATCTAGATCACATGTGTCAAACACAAGGCCCGCGGGCCAAATCCGTCCCGCCAGGCCTTGCAATGTGGCCCGAACCGCGCTGTCAATCACTGCACTCCGCTGCGTTTCCATCACAATGACAGTTTATGACTGTTCAGTAAACCATTCGGCCTGCGATTTAGGCTGGATTTTAGATTTTGGCCCCTTCTCTGATTGAGTTCGACACCCCTAATCTAGATAGTAAAAGTTAATGTTGCTCTGTGTCTTTAGTAATTTTAGAATAACTTCAAAGTACATTCTAACATATAATAGTACAGGGAATATACAAAAATAAAATTTATGGTTTGAAAATTAGAGGGAAATGATCCAGAAGAAACCTAAGCATTCTGTAAAATGACAAAGAAGGGCATTAACATGTGCCTCCATTAGTGAAATAACTTTTTCACAAATAAGATTGAGTAAGCACAACTATTTACCATTCTTATCTAAGTAAAACTTATTCTTTAATTCTTTGACAAAGTTTGACTTGGTAAGATGTTTTGAACTTTAATAGCTCTTGAGGTCTTAAATGATGGCCAAATCAAAAATAGAAAGGAAAAAAAAAATAGAAAGAAAAAAGAATACTGCTACAAAATCTATTTTTTGTAGTGTTCCCATAACTGCAGAGCTCTGAGCTCTTTAGAAGTCCCTATAAGGCTCTCAGGCAGGCAACAGCCATGTGACTTCAGTGGCCACTTTAATAGAAGAGGGTTGCTGACCCCTGAAAGATGGAAACTAGTGAGAACAGTGTAGAAGAATTGTTATGGTATGAAATCTCACATTATTATAGCCAAATAGAATGTAAGCTTGCTTTTATTTTCAGGTCAGATATTTTTAGAATGACTGACAGTACCCTATTTTGGAAAATTAAATATGGTACAACATTCCAGAATGGGTTATTTTGCTTAAGTGCCTTTCTTTTAACACACCGTTAGGATAATATGTAGCTTGGGTGCCATCAGAAATAAAACTTAGAGGGGAGGGGTGCTACTACCTAGGTTCAGGGATTTGTTTATTTTCATTTTTAAGAAAATATTTTCCTGTTATGATAATAGAGTTAAAGCCTCTTGTTTCCATATTCTAGAGTAAGTAAAGGGGATACCCCACTACAGTAGAAGACTTTTACTAGTATATTACTGCTACTTTTCCTTTTTGTCCTTTAGTCACTTCTTCAGCTAGGAACTATTTTCCTTTGTTAATATTATTGTCTTGAATAAAATATCAGATTTTGATCATCTGGGTTTTTAAACATTGGTGTCTGAGACTTTGTGAAAGCAAATACAAAACTATAGAATTTTTTTGTTTCGAAAACTATAGAATTTTAATGTAGTGATGGGCTGATATGTAGCTAAAGTATTTTGTAGCATGTACAAATTAGAATGCCTATTGTGACAAAAATGCCTCATTTTCAGATGCTTTGCATGCATACTTTGGAATTTGTGGCCTGTCTCTAATGGAGGAAAGTGGAATTTGTACAGTTCATCCTGCCCTGAATGTAAGCACACGGACTTCTGAACGCCTTCGAGATCTCCATCAGAGCTGGGAAACCAAGGACTCTAAGCCGTGCTCAGAGAATGTACACATCTCCACATGACTGACTTTCAACTGGGAGGGTGGGGGGATTTGTAGCATAACTGTAGCTCAAGGTTAAAAGCCATGTATAACCAAGTGTGCTCTTTTTTTAAGAAGTAGAATCTTACAATCAAATCTTGTGCTGGTGTCACTTTGGAATATGGTCTTGAGCCACTATTTGTAATGGGTTTCAAGAAAATCTTTGAAGTTTGAACCACAATGGACTCTGTTATGGTTCTTAAATGTTTATATTGTATTTCTAAGAACTTCTTTGAGGAAAATTAACTGTGTGTATGTAGGTTATCTTTTTTAAAACTCTTCAGTACAAATTATATATCATATAAAATAGAAATCTACAAGTTTACTGTTCACATAGCATTGATAATCTTTGGATGAACACTTAGTGATCATTTTAAAAGCTTGACTGCTGATGGTAGAAAATTGCTTTAAGAATTAAGTATCTGGGATTATTCTTTGAAAACAATCGATCCCATAATTTTTAAAAAGAAGAATGATTTA